CCCCAAAACCCCAAAACCCCAAAACCCCAAAACCCCAAAACCCCGTAAACTATAAATAAAATTGCAACAACAAATTAATAATATTGTTTGAAAATGGCTAATAGACAGAACATCAAAGCTTCTGAAGATATGCAAAATAAACTCTTCAGTGACAACGATATTGATTTCTCAGACTATGTCGATAACAAAGACGGAGAAGTTAATAACTTACCTTGAGCTAGGAAGAGTAACAAAAGCAAGCTACTTATATCCAAAGGGAATGTAAAAGACGAAGATTTATCAAGCTTTAATAGGATCAACAGGCTTAATTCTTTTCCAATCAAAAATTTATACCAGAATCCATTCAACAGGTAAATCTTGAGACGATTTTGCGACCACAGTAAACTATCAGTAACCTACTTTAATAAGCTGGTTTACGACTTCTAAGAACAAACTTCTGGGTACTTTTATTGATCAATTTGTCTCCAGATTAGAGAATAATGAATCTAAATGACTTTTCTCTTATGGAAAATGAATCAAACTATTTATAGTCATAAAAACCTTGTGGCTTAACTCTGTCCTGTTTGTTTTACACCATGAATAAATTTTAATAAGTATCACCTAACTTTTGAATTATAGGGGTGACGAAGAAGTCTCAAAAGAGAAGGAAGACGCCTATTACAATAACTCCCCTCAGTTCTGTACCCCAGTAAGAAGCAGGAGCCATACTAAGCAAGTTTTTAAAATCAGAGAGAAGGGTCGGAAACTCAAGAAGTACTCCTCAGAAGCCAAGAAAACTGGCTACCTCTTCTCTAAAGACAAGTAAGCATATTTAAGGTTTACTTAAGAAATATTTCGAACGTTTAGAGTCTTCTTGTATAAGATTGTTGCAGTCTGATAACATATTTCATAGGACCTCATACGATATTCTCAAGATGCTGACCTCTGACCCTGCTCTGGCTCATGAAGAATAGAGACTTCCCAAGAGATACTAGCATTACTTCTACTTAATTAAATAAAAATTGACAAAATTCCTCTTTCATTGCCTGGACTTCGTAGCATTTTTGGGATTTTAAGAGCTTCAGATATCGTAGCCAATTTACCTAAAATATTTGACTAATGCTGTCTTCTAAAACTCTGCTAGAGCTTTGTTTCAAGAAATATTTAAAGGTATCATTTTAGGAAAATATAGCTGAGAAGAATCTTTGGCTTTGAGTGTCTAAATAACCAACTGCTTCCTGGTTAAAACTTTTAGCAAATATTTCATATAACTCTTATACTTATTTGAAACATTTCTGAAAACTCAGCTAGTTGTTTTAATCTTTTTAATAATTTAATTTTCACTTTTCAGTCCTGGGATTTTATGCCTTATGGCAGATTACTATGAGCTCTACTTGAGAATTTACAAATATGCTAAAATCATAATAGCTACACTAGAGGTTCTTCTATTAAGTCCACTAGAATATTTTATTAGGCCATCTCAGGTTATTATAGAAGTCCATTCCTCAAATAAAATTTTGGATAAATTATAATGTTCCTTCCCAATCTATGCTAGTCCTTGCTATGGCTCTGTAATTTAGCCAGAGCTTAAAGATAAGGACCAGTAAGCCTAAAAGAATTTTAGATAAATGTGAATCCAGCTTTAGTGCAGAAATATATTTCGCTCTATAATCCAATACAAACATAGGTTAGTGCAATATAATTTATTATGCAAGGGGTTTTGGGGTTTTGGGGTTTTGGGGTTTTGGGGTTTTGGGGTTTTGGGG